TGCTTATTAATTGCTTTCCCATTTTAAGACACTTTTGAACAAGTGTTTAGTCTTTCTGAAATTTATAGTTTAGTTGTCTGCTTTCATCTCCATTGTATTACTTGTTTTTTTGGATTTTTTATCTTAAAACAATTTATTGTCTTAATTGCATGTTACACTGATGAAGACAAGTAATTATTGCATGCATAGTGATACATATGTATTACATAGCTGCATGTATTTTAATGACATTTATAGCTGAAATAACAATTTCTATTAAATTAATATCTAGAAAATTCCATGTCAAATAAGGACTCATAATGAATGCTATTCCGCCATCATGTATGGGAAGGTACTAATATATGGTAAAATGTTTTAGTATGTCCAAGAATATCAACAGCAGAGCATGAATATGGGTGTACTTGATTTACTTAATCTATATCATTATGTTTAAATATTTAGTAACTTGCCATTTCAGAATTGGTATGGAGGAATTCTGTTGAAAAAAATAGCTGGTTCAATTTCTACCAGATTTATCTTCTTGTTAGTTATTTCCAGAAGCAACCATCAGAATATAGGTAGGATACAAAAAACCAAACATTACCTCAGTTTTTACTGGTAACCTTCTCCCAGCACAGTGAGTTTATGTCCAAGAATGTGCTTATTTAACAGATTGCTTCAGACTCTAAGTCATTAATCACTATCTATGAAACCAATATGCTACATAGAATTTAACAGTTTAATACCATAACTGATTGACATTTAATTTCTTTAACATAAGATGACAGAATCATCAAAGCCTGTTCAAGTTACTGTCATCTCTATTGACTCCTTCATCAGACTCTTAAGATGATGCTTAATTTCTTGAGGCAACATGCATTAGAATGAATGGAAGGATGTTCTTTAAATTCAATCAGAACTAAGTAAGGCTTAAATTTGAGGATATGATCCTAAATTTGCCACAAAGAATCCTTCATTTTCTGGCAATCATTTGTTTCTTCTTATGATACTATCTATAGTACATTTTGGTAGATAAGGATGATAAAAAGCAGATTCTTGAATTTTTAATTCTAATAATTAGTGTGAGTTTTTTTGACACAGCACACAAAAAACCCCCCAACACTCTCCCATAGCTACTGACATTTCATCAGGGAAAGCTTTGATGAACTTCTCTGAAAAGTCATGTCAACTTCGTCTATTTAGAAAAATTTCTAGTTATCTCTACACCCTACAATATTTAGAAACAATTGAGACCAAGCTGGTAGACAGTAACTTCTAGAAATTTTTTAAATTTATTCTTTTTAGCGTGATGTAATTATGGTGTTTAGAATAAATCCATTAGTTTTGATTTGTCTAAAA